TATGTTGTTAATGGTGAAGCAGTCAACTGACATCACTCTGTTGAACAAATGAGGCCTACTTTCTGTTGTTAAGGAAGGAGAGCAAATGCTCCCTGACATGTTAAGAAAAATCTTCTCATACAAAAGACATTTTTTTCTCACTGATTACACATAGTTACACTTTACACACAGACACACACAGAGTTTTGTCTTCTTACACTAGGACCACACATTAGTCAAGGGAAACCTGTCAGGATCAATCCTGCTTTTCTATGATGACAATGATTGGCTTGCAGAGAAAAAAAAATGAGAGAGAGAGATAGAGAGAGACAATATCATATAAAGCTCTTCTTTAATATGGTCAAAGAACAGCCTTCTATACTCAAAGTAAAGCGAAGGACATTTTAATAACTTATGAGCTACCCAATTTCAAATATGAAATCCCTAAGGAAAAGCAACTTTTGATTTGCTCACACTTATTACCCAGGAGCCAAAAAAAAAAAAAACAAAAAACTAAATATATTTATTAGGACATAAAAGTAGCTCAGTATCAGAATTCAGACCTTTTCTAATTATTGCCTATTTCCTGATGATACTTCCTTCATATATCTGATGAAAATGACAGGAAATACTTAAGTATAGAAAAATTACTTCTATTTTAATGTCTAACTTTCTGGTACTTCCTCCCTTTCTCCTATTTCTGCCTCTTTTTTGCATTTATCCTTTATCTTTATTATATAGAGAATAGTTCTGCTTATAGTGTTTAAATAAATATGTGATATCAGTTCTCTGTGTTACTGTGGCTAGGCTATTGCCCAACAATTCAATCAAAAGTAATGCTAGGCTTTGCTATGATGGTATTTTAGATGATTGAAATCCAAAATGAGTTGACTTGAAAGATTATCCACTTTAATCTGAGTAGGCCTGACTCGATCAATTAAATGTTCTTAAGCACATAGCTGAGGTTTCCCTAAAGAAGAAATTCTGCCTGTGTCAGAAGCTTCAGCTCCTGCCCTAAAGTGACAGTAGCTTAAACTATGGGCTTTAGACTTGCCTACCTGGCCCTCACAGTTGTATACATCAATTCATCACAATACATTTCTTAATATATATCTTCTACTGATTCTGTTTAGTTGAAATTTGACTACCAAAAACATTAGTTGCATTTTAGATTGTTCTGATGTATTGGAGGAGAATAAAGAGAGGACCAGGAAGGAGATACTCGGTTGTCTAATTATTCATTTTAGGTTTCCTCTCTAAAATTGTAGACCTGAACAGATGACAAGAATCTCAGAACCTGTTAAATTCCACGAACATCATGTAAAGCTAAATTGGGGTTCAATCCAACAAACTGTTTAAAAAACCCATACACATGGTGAAAAAGATAAAACTTCAGAGCAACAAGTATGCTGATTTTCATTCATTAAAATGAAAAAGCAACAGTTTCTTACAATTTCTCAAATATATTTTAGAATTTAATGTTCAGAAAATGATGGCTAATAAATTTTAATTAGGCATAAAGATAAAGATAGATTCTTTTCAGGATTTATCTAGGTAAATATACATAAGTCATACATTCTTGTATTTAATTTTTAAGATCTGTTTTACACAGTAGAAGTGAAAAAAACTAAAACTCAGCAAAGACAGGAAATTTAGAGCACGCCCTCCCCGTGGTTTAGATCTGTGCAGATGGTCCTCTGGGAGAATCTTGACACAGAATCCTTATGAGAGGTTGCAGCTCAATGTGCCTGGTGAAGAGAGAAGGTGGTGGATGATGGTACAATTTTTTACCTTTGGAGGGAAGAGCTCTGCTTCTGGGAGATGGTAGTGGTTCCCAATGAGAAGTAATGTTCCAATAAAGAGGTCCCTGTGACTTTAACTATCACTTTACAGAACTTCAAAAGTTGTTCTTTAGTGTGAAAGCTGTAGATATTTTATGTCTACATGAGAACACGCTAACAGTGTGGATTATACAGGTATATTCTTGAAGAGAGACCTCAACCACATGAAGTGACAGTTACATTTAAGGCTAGTATTTAACACATATTAAGTAACTATCAAAGGTCAAGGATTACAAATATTATTGGATATTGGTAAAGGTCTCTAAAGTGTCAGGGAATATCGTTAGTTCCATTTCCTCCCAAAGCAGTTGCTCCTGAGGGGACAATTCAGTGCCTGTGCTTGTGATGGTCCATTATAGGCTACAAGGATGGGTTGTGATCAGCAAAAGAAGCCCAGGATGGCTCTTGTGGGGATGACGATCACTATTATTTCACATAGATGAAGAAGGTGGCCAGGAAGGGTAGAAACAAGGTTCCTTTTCTTTCCTTTTTTTTTTTTTTTTTTTTTTTTTTG